CTTATCACGACTTAAAAAACATATGACAATTCACACAGGTGTGAAGCCGCATTCGTGTACAACATGTGGGAAAAGTTTCTCTCGTCATGACAGCTTGGTGCTTCACATGAGAACTCACACAGATGAAAAGCCATACATTTGTAACACATGTGGAAAAAGATTTTCTAACACATCAACACATAAAAGGCACACAGCAATCCACAACGAGGAAAAGCCATATTCTTGTGGAACATGTGGGAAAAGTTTCTGTCGTCAGGATTACTTAGTGTTTCACATGAGAACTCATACAGGTGAGAAGCCATACTCTTGTAAAACCTGTGGGAAAAGTTTCAATAAAGAAAGTAATTTGAAAGTCCACATGAGAATTCACACAGGTGAGAAGCCGTACACCTGTAAAACCTGTGGGAAAAGTTTCAATAAAGATAGTAATTTGAAAGTCCACATGAGACTTCACACAGGTGAGAAGTCATCATCCTGAAACATCTGTGGAAAAAATAATTTAAACAGGTTGAAAATTTTACAGCAGCTTCAGACTGTACTTCAACAATAGTTGTGAGGAAATATGTCAGCAGTCCGTGATGATCAGACCAGATGGATTCTGGACTGTGGTGGTGGTGGAGCTGGGAGAAGAACCAGGCTGATCATCTGGATAAATGTACTATTGGTACAGGCTGCTGTATGTTTGGTATCATTCTTCATCCTTCATCCTCATCAGTGATTTATTTCTTGATGCATTATTGGAAATGCTAAACTTGTTTTGAACTCCACATTGATTGTAAATAAACTTTTAACTGTCTGCAGCTTCATGAGTGCTTTGTGAAATGTTTTGAATGTATTTAAACAGATTAACATTTACAACGTGTTTAATAATGACTTTAACACTGATGAGCTCCAGCAAAGGTGTTATGTTATGAAGCTACACACAATTGTTTTTACTGGTAGCAGCTGATACACACCCACAAATGTTAAGAAACATGTGAATCTATGTTGCACTTTCTGCTGTTTCAATATAGACCTTGTGTTGTTTCTTTCTTCTTTAATCACCACATAGGTCATCAATGTGATTTGTTAGTAGGATCTTATGATGTAGTCAGGTCACTGTTAGTTATACAGCACATTTAAAACCACAGCAACTGAGTCAAAGTACTTTCCAGTAGAGAAGTAAACACAATGTCACTAATTTGCCTCAAGTTTAAATAGTAAGAGCCTTCAACATTATTATATGACATGAACATGCCTGACTAACTCAAATATTAAGTTAAAGATCCAATAATATTGTAAATCCACATAAAGTCAGTAACTTACTGGGTTAGGTTAAAAACCTACAATATTATACACAGAAAACCCAACAAATCCAAAGGTTCTCTGAGACTAGGTTAGATTAAATTTTAAAGCCGAAGACAGGTAAGCGCAGAGGTATCCAGACTTGGCTAGCAGCTAACCCACATAAGCCGGCTATCCCCACCATTCTGCTGGCCAACGTGTGGACTCTGGATTACAAGCTGGACTATATTAGACTGTTTCACTCATCCACGAGGTCTGTGAGAGAGTGCTGTGTGTTTGTTTTTGTGGAAACATGGCTCAACAGTGACATCTCGGACTGCACCATTCAACTTGACCGGTTAACATGCCACTGAGTGGACAGAGTTCTCATTGAAGGAGGAAAGACCCGTGGCGGGGTCTCTGGGTTTACATCCATGATGCCTGGTGCCGTGATGCTGCTGTGTCTGCAAACACTGCTCACCACTGGTAAAGTTCATCATTATTAAGTGCCGGCCGTTCTATCCACTGAGGGAGTTTACGGCCATACTGCTTGTTGCTGTATACATCCCTCCCACCTCCAGCAACAACAACAGGAGTGAGGCAGTGAATGAACTTTACCAGCACATCAGTGAGCAGCAGACGACCCACCCAGATGCTTTTCTGATTCTGGCTGGGGACTACAACCATGCAGACCCAAGAACTACTTTTCTCAAATACAACAACACATTGACTTTCCTACACAAGGAAACAACACTCTGGATAATGTCTTCACCCCCGTGAGTGGACCTTACAAGGCCCTGCCCCTCCCCCACCTCGGTGCCTCGAAACACATCACTGTGAATGCTAATGCCAGCATACAGACCACTGGTTAAAGTCACCAAACCAGTTCGGAAGCAAGTATGAGTTTGGTCGGAGGGTTCCTGGGAGGCACTTCAGAACTGTTTCAGCTCCACTGACTGGAACATGTTTTAACAGGCTGCCACCAACAACAACACCACAGACCTCCAGGAGTACACAGAGACTGTCACTGCCTACATCACCAACTCTATTGATGATGTTACGGACACAAAGACCATCACTGTGCAGGACAATCAGAAGCCATGGCTGACAGAGAAGGTCTACAGGCTCATGAAGACTCTGGATGCTGCCTTCAGAGGTGGAAATAAATTGGGCCTGAGGACAGCTAGGGCCAACCTGTCATGTGGCATCAGGGCTAAGAGGCAGTACTCCAGGAGGATAGCCCACTGTTTCAGTGACAGAAGAGACACCCAAAGTCTGTGGCAGGGAATGCAGAGCATTACGGACTACAAGCACACACCGCAGCCCTGTGACAGCTCCACCTCTCTGCTGAATCCAGTTGCACATAACCTTGTGAAGGAAAAATTACTTTCCTTATTTGGAGTTAATCTCAAACCTAATTTGACCTCCTTGGGCAAATGTAGTGTTTGTAGCAGATGTGCGCTCTGTATCTTTTCTGTACATTTTTGACCTCACGTAAATCTTGTTGTAGTCGGACAGACAGGCTCTACCAGCACTTCTCAAGGCCAGATTATACCCAGGCGCCAACTTATCTTTGTTTTCCTTTCACCATCAATCTGGATGTGGCTCCCACTGAAGGAGGATACAAGACTAAAGGTGTGAGAGGGATCATTCGAACTGATGCTGGCATTGCGTGTGTGAGCTGCTGTTCTGTTAGTGTCACTTCTCCTGATGCATCAGTAAACCTTATTTCAACCGAAGTCATCTGATTCTCCGATGCAGCACATCAAATCTGTCATCCCCCCCTTCCTGAACCCCTACCAGTATGCATATCGGTCCAACCGTTTGACCAGTGAGGCTATTTCCACTGCCCTCCACTCAGCCTCACTCGTCTGGACATGAAGGACACGTATGTCAGAATGCTGTTCATTGACTTCAGTTCAGTATTCAACACAATCATTCTCCAGCTGTCAGGGCCCCTCCCCAGTCTTCATCTGCCCCACCTGACCTCCCTGCTTCTCCCTCTCTCTCTCTCTCTCTCTCTCTCTCTCTCTCTCTCTCTCTCCCCTCTGCTTTCGCTCAACTCTCCTGTGCCGCTCCCTGCAGTGGCTGATACTAATTAGTTTGTTAATCAGCAGCAACAGCAGTCAGATGCAATGCAGCACTCTGGCCACTTTCTCCAGCCATACAAGCCGGTTCCACGCTCCACTCCCTGCCAGATCGCAGCATCAGCTTCAGCGACTCTAGTAGTTGCGTGAATCAGGCCTCAGCACATTACTACCCTGGTGTTTTAACCTGAACAAACTTGTGTGTTCTTCTCCTGTCCTGCAGTCCTGCCCCAGTTCTGCTTTGGTCCTGCTATCCCTTGCCCTGGTTCTGTTTCGGCCCTGCTCGCTGTGGTCCTGGCTCCTGCCCAGTCTCAGATGACCCAGAACTCTGTCCTGCAGGGCATCGGCTCCCCCCCGGCCCACTCTTCAGACCGCCGCTGGCGCTCTCCACCGCTCACCCTTGCCCTCGGTGCGCCCCTTTGGTTAGTTTCATCCCAGGCCCCCACCTCAGTTCAATTCTTTGTTTTGTTCAATAAATCTGTGTTAAAACCGTGACCAGTCTCTGCTTTGTCTGTGTGCTCTCTGCATGGGTTCCCTGAGTCCCTTGACACCAACAGGGGCCCCCCCAAGGATGTGTACTACGCCCTCTCCTCTTCACTCTGCTGACCCACAACTGCACACCAAGTTACAGCTCCAACCTCTTCCTCAAGTTTGCGGATGACACAATTGTTGTGCGTCACATCAGTGATGAAACAAACGACAGGAGCGAAGTGAGCCACCTGGCCATGTGGTGCAGAGACAACAATCTCTCTCTGAATGTTGATAAGATGAAAGAAATTGTTCTGGACTTCAGGAGAGTGCATACCCAGCATACTGCTCTGACCATCGGCGGTGCTGCTGTAGAGAGCGTGAGCAACACCAAGTTCCTGGGTGTGCACATCGCAGAGGACCTCTCCTAGACTGACAACACCGCATCACTGGCCAGGAAGGCTCAATGTCTGTACTTCCTCCGTAAATTGAGAAGAGTCAGGGCCCCGGCCCACATCACGTGCACCCACCTTTTACAGAGGCACCATCGAGAGTGTTCTGACCAGCTGCATCACTGTGTGGTATCCTGCAGAAAGACCCTCCAGTGCATAGTGAGAGCAGCTGAGACGATTGTTGGTGCCTCTCTCCCCTCCTTTCAGGACATTCACAACACCCGTCTGACCCGATATATTGCTGGTGACCCCACCCAGCCTGCTGCCATCAGGGAGGAGACTGTGGAGTCTCCGAGCCAGGACCAGCTGACTGAAGGACAGTTTCATCCACCGGGCTGTCAGGAAGATGAACTTCCTCTCTGCCCTGCCCCCCATACCTGTCATACACTCAAACCCTGGACTCTGAACACACACACACACACACACACTACTCTCAGGGACTTGCCAGTTTAAACTGTATTGCACATGCTGCTTATTGCTGTCAATTTATTGTTTACATTATTTATATTTTCAGAATTACGTTTATTGAGAATTACGTTTACTCCTGAGACTGAGGCCTCTGAACAGCAAGTGGAAGCACAGCAGACAAGAGACAGTGAGCCAGACATGCAGGCTGTGGAAGATGAGGAGGAACTTGAGCTGCAGACATCACAGGATCATCAGGATCTACAAGAGCAACAAAAAGACCAAACATCTGATGAAGAGGAGCAACACCTGCAAGGAGATGAAGGCTCTGACACAGATCCAGGGCCGTTACCTCTGACACGACACATCCACCCCCCGAGAGAGCGACGGCGGCCGAGGATGCTGACATATGACACACTGGGACAACCAACAGTCAGACAAGCTGGTATGGACAACATTGAGGTGGGCATACCAACACCTGGCTTCCAGACTCTATGGCGACCGTGGGTGCCCACCGAAATACAGACACTCTGCTAGACACTAAAGTAAGAAACTGCTAACAGGTCAAATGCACTAATTTATTAGTGGAAAATGTTTTGAACTGACACATCAAAAAAATGGACGGTATAGAAACATTAATGTTTAGATTGCCGGGGGATTCCCATGATGCACTGGGCTTCTCTCCTCTCTTCT